ACACTGCAGCAGGCTCGCTCTCCCAACTAAACAGGTCCTTCACGACATCCCACTAACAAAATATTTGTCCTACCCAAGTACTCTACCCAAGAATTAAGATTTATTATTTGTCCAATGTGTTATTAAATTCTTCCCAAATTTTATTAATGAATCTAATTTATATAAACCAAAGGAAATATTCCTATTATTTTCAAAACTGCTTTTTATGAAACAAGTTTCAATTATATTCCTGTCAACCATGGACTTGCTTGATACAACTTTCTCATCTTTTTGAAAATCGGTTGGATGATTAAAATCTGTCACAAGTTGTATCAAGCAAGTCCATGGCGACAGGAATATAATTGAATCTTGTTTTGAAAATAATATGAATATTTCCTTTGGTATATATAAATTAGATTCATTGATAATTAATAAAATTTAAGTCTGGCTAACCAGTTTCCTTGAATCCATGTGTTACCTTGCTCACACCAACTATCATCCATAAGATAAAAATTCTTAAGAAACTATTAAGAAAATTCATCCTGATTGATTACTCTGGCTAAAAGCACAACTACTCTATATTTAGATGTTAAAATGACAGTGAAATTTTTGTTAATTAATTTTACTATATTTTAAGTTTGTAATCCTTTTTAACCTTTATTACTAGCATTTGTATTGTACCTAATATAATAACATTGATATTTAATTCATAGACATAAATTCCTTCATAATCAGGTATTGCTAGATACTGTTTGTACCAAGACAAACACTACTACTACTTCACTGAGGTTACTTACCATTCCTACTTCTTATATTCACATTATTTCTTCATTGGCACAATCTTTTCCAATAATTGTCTATGTCCCGTGTGATGTTGCTGATGAACAGTCATGGCGGCTCAACCCTCCAGCGGACCACTTGAGCCCGGAGGCCGAGGAGTGGGTATGTAGATGTAGTCCCCAGCAGGAACCTTGCAAGTGAACCCAAAACTGTCTTCCACACCAAGTTTGCTTTGATTTACTTCTTTTGGTAAACTTACCAGAAATAAAAAAAGTGCATGAAGCTTGACCTACTGTAAATAATATATTTAAAAAATTTTATGCACTCCATCTTTGTGAGGGACGTAACATAAATCACTAACTAGAATTTCTAAAAACTGATGAATATTTTTTGTTTGAGTTATTAGAAAAATTCTATCATATGTATTTAATAATAAGAGAGTAGACTGTTATTTCTAATAGCTTCCATTTCTGTTTTTATGGCATTACATTTCAACTTACATGCATCCTCTTGGACGACCAAGAGGATGTATAAATTTGGAGTGGAAGGAACGTGGGGCAGGAATCATTGGAAAGGGTTAGAGGATAAGAGGAGGGTTTTGAGTGGTAGGGGCTTGGGCATCCAGCAGGCATGTGTGAGTGTTAGATCAGGATAAGTGGAGGCAAGTTGTTTTAGGGATTTGATATGCTGTTGAAGTATGAGCATTAAGTAAAGTAACTTTTATGAAGAGACTCAATACAACTGGTTAGCTGGACTTGAGTCATGAAGGTGGAAAGTAAAGTCAGTGCCTGTACTGTGAAGGAAAGGTGGGGATGCTACAGTTTGGAGGGGTGTTTTATGCCTGCACGTTGTTGGCAAGACAGCTGTTGACTGATGGTGAGTGTTTCCTTATTTAGGTTACCCTGTCTTAGTGCGAGACCTGATGTGGTAAAATATATATATATATATATATAATATATATATATATATATATATATATAATATATATATATATAATATATATATATATATTATATATATATATATATATATATATATATATATAATTTATATTTATATTTTTTAACAAGTTGGCGATCACCTACCGAGGCAGGGTGACCCAAAAAGAAAGAAAATCCCCAAAAAGAAAATGCTTTCATCATCATTCAACACTTTCACCTCACTCATACATAATCACTGTTTTTGCAGAGATGCTCAGAACACAACAGTTTAGAAGCATATACATATAAAGATACACAACATATCCCTCCAAACTGCCAATATCCCAAACCTCTCCTTTAAAGTGCAGGCACTGTACTTCCCATTTCCAGTACTAAAGTCCGGCTACATAAAAATAACCAGGTTCACTGAATCCCTTCACTAAATATTACCCTGCTCACACTTCAACAGATCGCCAGGTCCCAAATACCATTCGTCTCCATTCACTCTTATCTAACACACACACGCATGCTTGCTGGAAGTCCAAGCCCCTCGCCCACAAAACCTCCCTTTACTCCCTCCCTCCAACCTTTTCGAGGACAACCCCTATCCCGCCTTCCTTCCCCTACAGATTTATACACTCTCCATGTCATTCTACTTTGATCCGTTCTCTCTAAATGACCAAACTACCTCAACAACCCCTCTTCAGCCCTCTGACTAATACTTTTATTAACTCCACACCTCCTAATTTCAACACTCCAAATTCTCTGCATAATATTTACACCACACATTGCCCTTAAACAGGGCATCTCCACCGCCTCCAACCACCTCCTCGCTGCAGCATTTACAACCCAAGCTTCACACCCATATAAGAGTGTTGGTACAACTATACTTTCATAAATTCCCTTCTTTGCCTCCATAGATAATGTTTTTTGTCTCCACATATACCTCAATGCACCACAGACCTTTTTTCCTTCATCAATTCTATGGTTAACCTCATCCTTCATACATCCATCCGCTGACACGTCAACTCCCAAATATCTGAAAACATTCACTTCTTCCATATTCCTCCTCTCCAATTTGATATCCAATTTTTCTCTATCTAAGTCATATGATACCCTCATCATCTTACTCTTTCCTATGTTCACTTTCAACTTTCTGCCTTTACACAGTCTCCCAAACTTGTCCGCTAAGCTTAGCAACTTTTCTTTAGAACCTTCTATAGGCACAGTATCATCAGCAAAAAGTAACTGTGTCAATTCCCATTTTGTATTTGATTCCCCATAATTTAATCCCACCCCTCTCCCCAACACCCTAGCATTTACTTCTTTTACAACCCCATCTATAAATATATTAAACAACCATGGTGACATTACACATCCCTGTCAAAGACCCACCTTTACTGGGAAGTAGTCTCCCTCTCTTCTACACACCCTAACCTGAGCCTCACTATCCTCATAAAAACTCTTTCACAGCATTTAGTAACTTACTACCTATTCCCTATCCACTCTTATCACATGCCTTTTCTAAATCCATAAATGCAATGAAAACTTCCCTACCTTTATCTAAATACTGTTCACATATATGCTTCAATGTAAACACTTGATTTACACATCCCCTTCCCACTCTAAAACCTCCTTGCTCATTCTCAATTCTACATTCTGTCTTACCTCTAATTCTTTAAATAATAACCCTACCATACACTTTTCCTGGTACACTCAGTAAACTTTTACAATCTCTTTTGTCCCCCTTCCCTTTATATAAAGGAATTATACATGCTCTCTACCAATCACTAGATGCCTTCCCCTCTTTCATACATTTATTAAACAAAAGTACCAACCACTCTAACACTATATCCCCCCTGCTTTTAATATTTCTGTCATGATCCCGTCAGTTCCAGCTGCTTTACCCCCTTTCGTTTTACGTAATGCCTCACGCACCTCCCCACACTCACATCCTGCTCTTCTTCACTCCTAAAAGATGGTGTACCTCCCTGGCCAGTGCATGAAATTACCGCCTCCCTTTTTCCGTTGACATTTAAAAGTTCCTCAAAATATTCCTGGCATCTACCCAATACCTCCATCTCCCCATCTACTAACTCCCCTACTCTGTTTTTAACTGACAAATCCATTCGTTCCCTAGGCTTTCTTAACGTGTTTATCTCACTCCAAAATTTTTTCTTATTTTCATCAAAATTTCTTAACAATGCCTCTCCCACTCTATCATCTGCTCTCCTTTTACACTCTCTTACTACTCTCTTCACTTTTCTTGTACTCTCCATATACTCTACTCTTCTTATAACACTTTTGTAAAAACCTCTCATAAGCTACCTTTTTCTCTTTTATCACACCCTTTACTTCATCATTCCACCAATCACTCCTCTTTCCTCCTGCACCCACCCTCCTATAGCCACAAACTTCTGCCCCACATTCTAATACTGCATTTTTTAAATTATTCCAACCCTCTTCAACCCTCCCACTACTCTTACTTGCACTAGCCCACCTTTCTGCCAATAGTTGCTTATATCTCACCCGAACTTCCTCCCTTAGTTTATACACTTTCACCTCTCTCTTACTTGTTGCCATTTTCCTTTTGTCCCATCTACCTCTTACTCTAACTGTAGCTACAACTAAATTAAGCTCCGATATATCAGTTGCTCCTCTATAAACATGTACATCCTGAAGCCTACCCACCAACATTTTATCCACAAATATGTAATCTAACAAACTACTTTCATTATGTGCTATATCATACCTCGTAGATTTATTTATCCTCTTTTTCATAAAATATGTATTACTTATTACCAAACCTCTTTCTACACATAGCTCAATTAAAGGCTCCCCATTTTCATTTACCCCTGGCACCCCAAATTTACCTACTACTCCCTCCACAACATTTTTCCCACTTTAGCATTGAAATCCCCAACTACAAGTGCTCTCATACTTGGTTCAAAACTCCCCACACACTCAACAATTCCCAAAACCTCTCTCTCTCCTCTACACTTCTCTCTTCTCCAGGTGCATATACACTTACTATAACCCACTTTTCACATCCAACCTTTATTTTACTCCACATAATCCTTTATTTAATACATTTGCTGGCATCACAGTCAGATTACCTTCCAACTGGAGGTAGGAAGGACAGTGCCTGCACTCTGCAGGCACTGTCCTTCCTACCTCCAGGTCTCAAGTCTGGTTAACTAGTTTTTCTTGAATCCCTTCATAAAAATAAAGTTTTTTTTCACTTCAACATCATATCCATTTAAAACCACTTGTCTCCATTCACTTCTTTCTGACATGCTCACATAAGTCTACTAGATGCTTAAGCCCCTATATACTATTTATTAAAAGTGTTTAAGGTTGTTTTATAAATAAGTAATAAATTTAATTTCATTTTGTTTATGCAGTACTGTATACCTATATATTTATTGTACATATGATAGTCTGTTGTGTAATTGAATCACAAGATATACTTTATCATCTGATATTTGTGATGAAATTTTGAGACTGAAGAGTGCATCGGCATGAGAAATATATGTGATATACAGTACATGAGATAAATGGCAAAATGTTGAAGATCTAAATTGAAAAAAGAAATGCTATAAGAATATCATATATGATTGTGTGGAATTTCATTTTTGGTTCACTTCTGGTAATGAAGTTGAGCTATTTTGTATGATGGCATATGTGTATTGGCATGAGGTATACAGTGGCATCATTCACTATAGTGTCAACTTGACTAGGGTTTCTGTGGTGTATATTAACCTGGTGACCTAACAGCACAGTCGCCTTTGCTCACATCTTTCACTGCTGCTTGCTGGCTACGTTACTGCAGTATTTGGCACTAACGTCAGGAGCGACTAACTGATGCTGACCCACCTAAGAATAATGTAGATGTTAATTGAACTGTCTAATCTTACAGATTCTTAGTGCATAGCAGTAAGCAATAGATGGTCCTAGAGCTGTTGTAGTGTACACTCTAAAATAAAAGACCTAATGAGGTTATGTATTTACTTTAGATGTGTAAATATCAGCTCCTCAGTGTCCCGTGAATTGAATTGCATTTGATGTGATTCCACATATTAATGTCAGCTTATTTACTCACACACTCAAACACAAGTTTTAAAATTATTTATATAATCTTCTGTATTAATTGAATGAATTCTTTATTCTCTCTTACCTTATTTAGTAAACTGTATTAAGATGATTTACAAATGCTATATATGTTACTAGACTGATAAGTGT